ACCATCCTTTTAGGGGAGAAAAGAAACCAAAAGCACTCTTCCCCCAACTATCGAAGGATGAAGCGGATACAGCAAATGTATTTATCTGATGTTCGTTTATTTATTTAGACAACTTAGGTTGCTGTCCATCTTAAACAAGTGACTCTGGACAGCTAACCACAATGCAAAAAACCAAAACTACTGATATAAAGCGATGCAAAATGCATCAATAATCATGAAATGGTTGCTTTGAGCCAGCGTATTATGTGCAGAAAGCTTGAGGGGTTGTGCCTTTTTCAACTCCCCCTTTGATTCTCCGGAGCACAATTAAACTTTCTTCTTTCCCTCTCCCATGGATCTCTCTCAACGGTGTAACAAAATCTAAAAAGAAGAGGATGGGGGTGTGGGGAGCCCTTGGCATTTGTGCCCAAGTGAAGGTTTTCCTCCCCTTTTTGCCTCTGAAATTGGCCGGCCAAAATCACGGTGCAGCCAGAACCCCTGGCCTGCCGTGTTTATTCAGGGAAAGGGCTGGCAGTGGATGTGGGAGTGCAAAAAGGGGGAGGAAGGAAAATTAGGTGTTCTTTGCCATATATGTAGCTGAAGACGCGGTGACAACCGCAGCTGATTAAAAACAGAAGTGGGTGGCTCCAGCATTTTCAGCCCGTTCTTTCTCAATTATGTATTAGAAAAGAAGATGCACTTATGCTAATACTGTTCGGCGCCCAGCATGAATTCTCTGCATGGTTCAGTGCAGCAGATGGGAAAGCGGGTTGGCAAGACAAGGAGAAAAGAATTCAGAGAGGGTGGGACAAGCTTTCGGCTCCACAATGTAAGGGATCACCCGATGGCTTGCAGGGCGTCAGCCTTGTCTGCCCGGACTTGGTTCTTTCTTTCAGACCCAGCTGAGGGCAAGAGCGTATTTCCAGGAAGCAGAAAAGTAGCAGGAAAGACTCTGGGTTTTTCAGACTAGCAAGCAAGCCTTGGCCTTTGGGGCCCAGGAATGCCTTCTGATTCACATAGAAGAGTTTTCTGATTAGTCTGAGAACCATCAGAGGTCCCAGCGCAGTTTGCTGGTGTTTCTGAGGTCCATCAGGCATCTATAATGCAGATGTGAAAGGGTGAATTACCTGCTCTGGAGAACGCTGGCAAGTTGACAGGTCCATGCGCGTACGTGAGTGAGAGAGAGAGAGAGGGGGAGAGAGAGAATGCATAAATAAACATAGGCAACCATCTGCCTTCCAAGGGTTTTGAACTCAAAATTTCACAATCCATGCCCATTCTGGCTGGGGATAATGGTAGCTGAAGTCCTAGGTGACTCATCCCTGTCAGATGCTTATCTGTTTATATGTATGTGTGTACACACCCAGGCACACATGCACACACGCTCACGGCTTCTGTGGAAACAAGTGGCAATAACAACTGTGAGAAGGGATGAGAAGAAGTGCTCTTAGCAGCAGGGCGTTTTGCTATCAGCCTCCGTAATTCATTTTCCCTCCGACTTTCCTCTTTTTCAGGACTGTGTGCAACTCAATCAATACACACTGAAGGATGAAATTGGGAAGGTAATGAAACCCCTCGACATATATATATATATATATACGCACGCACACATGCACGCACTCCTTGCATACTTGATGCATGCTTGGGATGGAAACTGTCTTACCTACAGGGAAGTGTAGTTCTGGTCCAAGTTATGCTGCCTTTATAAATAAACTTACAAATAAAAAGTCGTCAGTCATTTTAGCAGTGTTTAGGGAAAGTGTCATTTGCTTCACGTTTTCTTCACCTACAATTTGTGTGTGTGTGTGTGTGTGTCCCTTTCATAGGGCTCCTATGGAGTTGTGAAGCTGGCATACAATGAAGATGACAACACTTACTATGTGAGTAAGGGCTGATCAGGTGGTACGGATTGCCTCAGTTTAATAGAAAAAGGAGAAGGAAGTTTTGGAACTAAGCGAAGGCCAGAGTGCGATTGAGCGAGGAGTTTTGATAATGGGGGACCAAGGTTCTTGCCCAGCACCAAATTAGGTGGGAACCCAGCATAGATTGTTTAATCCATCTGTCGGCTTTATTCCTGGAACCGTTTAGAATACCGATCTAAAATGGCATAAAAAAGAACAGCAACGGAGAATTCATTATGAAACTGTTCCAGAGCAACCAGCAATTAATTTTTGTGTTGTGTTGTGTTGTGAGTTATTTTGTTCCCCAGCAACTCCACACAATTACCTTGTCTCCTGCAGGCAATGAAAGTGCTTTCCAAGAAGAAGCTGATGAGGCAAGCCGGCTTCCCACGTAAGTGGGGATGTGCAGACAGCAGTCCTGGGGAGGTGGGTGGGGAGGAAGCAAATCAGCGGATGAACAGATGGGCTCATAGCTATGGGAAAGATCAGAGGGCAGCCTGGTTTTCCTCAGAGCGCCTCTGCACCAGCAGCTATGCCACTGTGCATTCTGGACTTGATGGAATTAATGCACCGAAGCCCCCCTTGGTTTGGTTCCTGGATGTTTGGCTTTGGCTTGGCTTCCAGCTGGGTGCCCTTCGAGTCTATGGACATCAACTGCCAGAATGACCCAGCTACTGAAAATAAGTGGGAACGGGTCCTCATATCAGACCCGTGTTTCTCAACCTTGGCAGCTTTAAGACGTGTGGACTTCAACTCCCAGAATTCCCCAGCCTGGCTGGGGTCTTAAAGCTGCCAAGGTTGCCAAGGTTGAGAAACACCGTATTAGACCAGTACCCCAAATCCTGCCCTGGTGATGTCCCTCTTTTCAGATCAGTCTGAAACGTTTGTCCATCAGGCCCAGACTCATCTGCCATGAGCGGTGGAGGGTCTTCAGAGTCCCGGGTAGAGGGCAGGCCTCACCTGACAGGCGGGGGCGGGGGGGTTGCAGTGTTTCACCGTCCTCAGTCCGAGCCCCTCTCCACCAGTCTGAACTTTCCCAGTGGCATTGGTTGCAGGCATGTTTCCCCTTCTCGGCACCTCTGTATCTTCTCCCTTAGGCCGCCCCCCTCCTCGCGGTGCCAAGCTCCCCCTGGAAGGCTTCTGCCAGCCCAGAGGACCCATTGAGCAGGTGTACCAAGAGATCGCCATCTTGAAGAAGCTCGATCACCCAAATGTTGTGAAACTGGTGGAGGTGAGGCTGATCTTGAACAGGGTGGGAAGCATGGCGCTTCCCGGGCACGGGATTCCCAGGTTGTGTCTATGGCACTGGCGCATGGCTGACTAGCCAAAGGCAGAAAGAGTGGCATTTCTCTGTAGAACGTGCCAGCAGTACCCCCTTCAGTGGCCAGAAGGAGCGGCCAAGGGTTAGGGAGAGGTATCGGCTCCCAACATTAAATTTCCCCCTCGTTTTGCTCCTTGCCGTAGTAGTGAGTGGCAGCCATTTTTTAATTATTATTATTATGGGGGCAAAATCAAGAGGTGTAACTTGGAGTTAGGAGAAGAGCTGAGTGTTCCTTCTGAACCCATTTCAATGAGAGTGTGCAAATTGTTCTGAATGTATCTGTGGGTTTTTCTGGCCTTTCTGGAAGTGGCCTGATGCTCTTCCAACCCTCGCTGCTACATTTTAAAAGAAATCTGTGAAGCCTGTCTAAGAACTGGAATGGAAATTCAAGTTCTAGGAAGGACAATCGGCCATCTGAGCAGGGGAGACCCTGCGTTGGGTTATATTATAATGCTGTTAAAGTTTATACTTATTAGGGGCATTTAAGGGTGGGGGTCACAGCTAAGTCACGGTGCCCCTTTTCTCTTTATGTTTCCCGACAGGTACTAGATGACCCCACGGAGGATCACTTGTACATGGGTAAGCCATCCCACCCTCTTTCTGCTTAGCCCTGCCAAGTGAAATGGGGTTTCCCCTGCAAGGAACGCTGCATCGTTTCCAGTGTGCCTCGGGCCTTGCAGAGGCAAGCCATCTCCAGACTTCAGAAGGGGCAGAGGGTTTGTCTGCAGTGAAGGGTTCTTGGTCGGTGCATCGCTCTAAACACCGTGCTGGGTCTGGGGGAGGAGGAAGCAAGGCTCATCTGGAATCCGTGCTTGGGTGGATGACACATGGAGCAGGGGCTGTAGTGTTAACCTTGGTCTGAAAGGGCAGGCTTCCTGACCACCCCTTCCTTTCCCAGCCCGGGGGAGGGTTTTATGTACATAGAACGAAGTCACCACTCAGTGCTTCATAGGACAGCCTCTCAAACACGCTTCCTTGCGAGAGGGCCCAGTTCCAGATGGAGTAGAGACAAAAATAAATGGCGGATGGCCTTTCCATATTTTATTCCCCCTCGTACCATCTGGTGTTTGTTTCTCGTCGTTTCTTTTTTAAATTAAAAGTTATATATTTATTTTAGAGCACAACACAATTCTTGGATCATCCAGCCTGGTGTATTCTCCCCTGCCGTTCCTCTGTTGTAGCTCAAGAGGGGTTGGAGTGCCTTCATACAGCTGCCAGACTTTAGCCAACCCCTGCCCCCCCCCCCACTATTGACTTGCTGGCCATATTCTCATGACTTTAAGTAGATCCGTGGGGGGCTAAATAGATCATAGGAACCCTGAAAAGGGGTTAATTGACCCAGTCAACTATTTAACCCAAAATGGGTCCAGTCAAGCACAGGGTTTGATTGACTCTAGAGCAGTGGTTCTTAAACTGTTTGACCCAATCATCCCTTTTCCCGGTCTCAAATAATGTCATGACCCCTCCCCCCCAAAAAAACAGACTTTGTTATTTTCCCCAAGCATCTCCACAGCGACAATCTTGGGCCGGATCCTCATCTCTCAAACAATTACAAGGAATTACAAATGGCTCCATTACCCCAGGATGTGCCCAGATGACCCCCAGATTAAGAACCATTGCTCTAGAAAGTCAGTGCGTTGACTGTCTTCTCTTGCCACCCAGAGCTGGCTGGGAGTTCAGCATCCACCAGTTCTGAAAGACACCAGGTTGGAGAAGGTGTGTTTAGGATTCCGTGAGAACCAAGCCTTGGTCTCCTGTGTGAGTCCCGTTAAGCAGGCGCGGTCTGAATTTTAGCAGCGCAGTTGCCCTGTTTGTCCATTGATGATGTTCTTAAAATATGATGTTCGTAAAATATGAGGTCACACTCTCTTCCTGGAGTTCACTATGAAAAATGGAACCATTTTCTTATGCAAGTGTTTCTCCTTATAATTAATTGCCTGCTTCTTTTTGCATTTCAGTGTTTGAACTTGTGAAAAAAGGGTAAGATAATTATTGTTTTTACCATTTTTAATTAATAGTGTATACGATACATTACAGAATAAGGGGAAAAATTGCTGCCCTAAGCATTTTACTCTCTGTAGCAGTGTTTTTCAACCTCAGCAACTTTAAGATCCCAGCCAGCCATGGCTAGGGGATTCTGGGAGTTGAAATCCACCCATCTTAATGGACAGAATCTTCCTCTTTCAGCCAGTTGGTTGGTTCTTGATTCTTGGTTTGTTTTCGCTTTGCAGGCCTGTGATGGAAGTTCCCAATCTGAAACCTCTTACTGAAGACCAGGCACGCTTCTACTTCCAAGACCTGATCAAAGGCATTGAATACTGTGAGTGTGTAGAAAAGCCCCACGAAGTTCAGAGCCAGGCCTGTGTTGAGAATGGGAGCCTATTTTCAGTCCCAGGGCTGGGCCTTGTAAGAAAAGGTGGAGGTGGTATTTTCTGAAAATGTGCAGAGTAACCCCCCTTCCTTTCTCCATGGCCTTTTGCTATGATAACATCAAACTGAGCACCTGTCCTCATTGTACAGCCTTGACACCGGAGCAAGTTAATGTCTTCTCTTACGTTTACATTTCTCTACAGTGCACTACCAAAAAATTATCCACCGGGATATTAAGCCTTCCAATCTTTTGGTCGGAGAAGATGGTCACATCAAAATTGCCGATTTTGGCGTGAGTAATGAATTCAAAGGGTCGGATGCCCTGTTAACCAACACGGTGGGCACACCAGCATTTATGGCACCAGAGACACTCTCTGAAACCAGAAAAATATTTTCTGGAAAGGTATGTTGAAAGAAAGAAAATTAGAATGTGTGTTCAGACTATAGTGTTTTTCTAGCATCTGGTAACAGTCGAAAAGGTTTTTAGAAGTGACTCATAATTCAAGCTAGCGTGGTCTGTGAACCCAGCCTAAAAAAAACTAATGTAGTCTTGGAATTTGGCTTAGCGTGTTGTATAAACCCAGACAATTGTGGCTTAGTTAACAAACCGTGGTTAAAACAAACCTTAAAATAGCATGATACGTGAACCCAGCCACTTGGTGATTTAATGTCAGACTAAGCCTTGAGGAGGGGTTGGATTTACGTCCTCACTCTGGCTGTGAAGCTGTGTGATCTTAAGGCAGACCATTTTTCCTTGTAGGACTGGTTCGGTGTGTCGGTGTAAGAATAATTTATGTCAGCCTTGGAAGATGAGTGGGGTATAGATATTATTGTATAAAGAGGCAAAATATCCTCCAGCTGATGCTTCTAGTTCAGTCTTAGAGTAATAGCAGTGATGATAATGCAAGGAGCAAGTGTTTTTGGAAAGCTAATGGACTCCTCCCCTCTCTCTCTCCCTCCTTCCTTTCCAAGGCTTTAGATGTCTGGGCAATGGGAATCACACTGTACTGTTTTGTCTTCGGACAGGTAACAGAACATCACCTCATTTTCTATCTGTTTGCCAATTTTGTTGTTTGTCAGATGCCAGGCTGAAGGCCGCATTGAGTTTGCAGAATCCAAGCCCTACTTTCATAGTTTTTAACCAGTCTTTGTTAGCTCCCTGAAAATACACCTGTTTGTACAATTTCCCCCCTCATTTGTGTGATTATGGGTTGACTGTTTGATGGAGCAGGGTGTCTCCCTCACTGCTATCTCCTGATACACCTGGGGAACGTGGTGCTAGATCATTTGTAGGTGACCCAGTTCTGGGTCAGGGTTTCGTAGGACTGTTTTGTCACACACGCTGTGCAATTTGAAGGGGAACTCAACCCGCTTCTCCCTTACCTCCAATCTGTGCCAGCCATAATGACTCCCTGGGCATTCTTATCCTTCCCAGTGTCCTTTTATGGATGAGCGGATCCTGAGTTTGCACAGCAAAATCAAGAGCCAGATGTTGGAATTTCCAGACCAGTAAGTAAGAACACAGTGGCCTTCTTAGGTATCAAGGATAACAAAGGCACTTCCCAATTTGCAAGGGGCAATTTGGATTCTGGAAGGTCCCCCTGCTTTCTTTCCTGGTTGGGGAAATCTCAGCGGGAGGCTCCCGGATCTCACATTGAGTCCTGGAGATGAGTTGATGCTTTTAGAGACGTTTCAAAAGCTCAGCACCACTGGGAGGGATCTAGCAGCTCCGACCGGGAGGAAGGAGGGCCGTGTTTCCCAAGCTGAGCAAACTCACAATTCAGGTTATTGACCCTGACTTTCTTTGAGGGGGAGGCACAGATACATTGCTTACCACTTTCTAAGCATGGTCATAGTGCAAACCGTAATGACCAGTCAGAATGACAGCCCCCAAAACATGTGATGATCCAGTGGAAGGGAATCTCTGTAGCTCAGGGCTGAACTGTGGAGTCCTTGGTGCTCTCTGAGCACGGTGGTTGCCTTGCAGACGCTTCATTACCCAACTAGGGAACATCAGTGACATGATACGTGATAATGCCAGGGTATATTTAAGACTTCTTTTGTGGCCTTCAAGACTAGTGACTTGCTTAAAGGGGCGTGAGATAAAAACGTCATGATGCTGACACCCAACTGAGTGCTTGTGAGGCAGGTTAATGCTCATAGCTCTAACTGATAAACCCAAAAGACAATTTTCTTATCTTTTTTAATCACCCAAGACCAGACATTTCTGATGAACTGAAGGATCTTATAACACAAATGCTGGACAAAAAACCTGAATCCAGGATCACTGTCCCAGAAATTAAGGTAATTTATGACCAGCCAGAGTTTCCTGAAAACTGTAGATACTGAATCTAGTGGAGATGGGAAGGTTCAGCTGTACAATATATACTGAAGGGTAAACCTTTGCGTATCTATATTCATCTGCTTATTTAGAAGGGTACAGAAATACAGTAAAATCCTGATTTAATGGACCGTTAATTTACTTTCTTTACTTTGTTTCAGTATCTCACTTTTCTGTATTTATGTTCTTTATTCTTTGCAATCAGCTTGAAGAATGTATAGTGACTCTATGTTTAATGTTTTATATTAAAAGAAAAAGATTTATCGTTGTGCATTTGGGATGTGTGGCCATCTTAATTGAAATAATACATACATACGTACATACATAAAATAAGGATCATCATATCTGAGAGAGGAATCTATGAAATCCCCACGAACAATTCACGATCTGTTCATTTATTCATTACCTCCCGAGATTTTCCTAATCATTCATCTGAACTGAACGTTGAATTGCACTCTCCAGCTTTTGCCATTCCACTTCCTATAGCAAACAATACATTTGGCAACCAGTTCTCCACATCTCTTATTTGCATTAATTTTTAAACATTGCACTTACATTTTTCGTGTCTTCAGTACGCCCAGCCGTTTCTGTGATGTTTTCTGAAATCAGCCACCAATTTCTCTCTTCCTTTCTCTCTTGCCCACATCCACGCACACAGCTGCATCCGTGGGTCACCAAGAATGGAACGGAACCGTTGCCGACTGAGGATGAAAATTGCACGCTGATTGAGGTAACCGAAGAAGAGGTTGAGAATTCAGTCAAACACATCCCAAGCTTAGCCACTGTGGTAAGTGGGTTTTGAGTATTCTGTCTGCCGGCATTTCAAGAATCTGTCTATCCAACTTCTTTAAATCAGTTCCAATTTCTGTAATGACCTCGCCATTAAACCATATTGGTCTCTGTGGACAGCAAGAATGCTGTCTAAGAGCATAAAATGAAGTGGGAATGGATTGAGCTGGTCGAATTCTGGATTATACCGCACAAGATCGATGAAGGTTGCCCATGCTTCTAGCTCCCCAGCCTTCCCCCACCCCCACCTATTTTATTATTATTTTATTTGTAGACCAGCCATCACCAAAATCTCAGAACAAATTAAAAGTTATTAAATGTTTGTGACATATAAACATTAATTTTAAGATGGGAGGTAATTGTGACATCTCTGTGAGATGCGTCAGTTAATGACTCTGGACTGTGCCATAAAAATTATTCTGTATGCCTTCTTAATGCATAGAGAGCAGATGTGTGCAGAGAGAGAAAGGAATGCTACATTTAAGGAGACCCTAAGCCAAGCCACTTAAACCCTTAACAATTATGGATTTTGTCTGCCATTCTTTGAAAAAGTTGCCCACCATCTAGATTTGAATTTCACTGTAATGCAGGCTTCACCTTTCTTTTAAAATCAAGATTAACTGCAATCCTGCATCGGTCTTTGCAAATGCACTTGGGCCAAATTTATCCCTTCTCTGCTTCCTCTGCTGTTTCCCTTGGGTCTATTTCTGGATTATAAGACCCCTGGGAACGGCATGTGGCTTCTTTTCTTGGGATGTTTGTTTATTATATATCGGAACCATTTATCTCTGCTCTTTATCCTGGAAAACTCCTGTGAGCTGACTGGGACGTACTTAATGAACATTAGACATCCCTGCCTCTCAAAAAGCATGACATGAAAGGGGATGAATGGGAAAAAGAGAACAAGGCAATTCCGGCCCATAATTGTGAAAGTCTAGTTTAAGGATGGCTTGATATAAATATGGAAATCTCTTCTGTTCTCAGATCCTGGTAAAATCCATGATCAGGAAAAGATCTTTTGGGAATCCATTTGAGGGGAGTAGAAGAGAAGAAAGATTTCTGTCTGCACCGGACAGACAGACATACTTGATGTAAGTGCCTCGGAGTAAACTATAGATTAAGCAAAGAGATTTCAAACAGTATTGTGGGGAATTTTTGTTCCAATAGATTGGAGATTCTTAGGCAAGGCAAATGGACAAACATTCCATTTATATCCAGGTCTCTCCCTTCCTTCATAATTGGCATATCCCATTTCTTTTTTTCTGTGTGCATCTACTTTCCCATACATTCTTGACTCCCCCCACAGGTCAAAAACAAAAAGCAAAACCCACCAGACCTCAAACTGGGAAATGTAAAATATTACACTGGTCAAAGATTATGATTGCCTGGTAGCTTCTCTTACCTGTCAGCTGTTCATCCCTCAGTAAACTGAGATGAAAATGAACATTGCAGAAAAAAGGGAGAATGTAATTTCTGGCATGTGGAATGTGCCTTCTAAAATCAGTAGCATGATCGCCTTTGGAGTGGTTTAATATTTGGGGTGAATAATGCAGAGAGGGATTGAGTGGGTTGTTGGCAGAGATCTAGTCATACTGACTTCCATCTGTATCTTAAAGCTACACATTAGGTTTGAGATACGAAAGACTGGGGGGGGATTCCAATCCCCCTTCTTTTTTTTTCTGGCTTCAACATTTCTTGAGATTTTACCTCTCTTAAAACATTTTACATCTCTTAAAACCAAGCTTGAAAAAGTGAGGTTGGGGAAAATCCCCTGTCCCGACTTTGCTTCTTTTCCTACAGGGAGCTAGTTATCAGAACAAAGTAAAGTTGTCACCTGGAGCAGATCAAAAACCCCTCCATTGCAGTCTCTCTCACACCTTCATTTGAATTATGAGCAAAACTTTCAGCTCTATCTTTTTCTTCATTTTAAAGCAGAAAACAAAGTAGTGAAGAGGCCTTCAGGGGCATTAATGATCTGCCAAATGTCAGTGAAGATGAACTGCTTTCTTGAAAAAATGTGCCCTTC